GGATGGTAAAGATACAGTAGAGACTGTGAAATCGATAAATACAGCAGATAGAAAAGTATGTGAACGAGTTTTTCATTTAGAAAAATTTTTGAAAAAAAGAATGACTATAAAAAGGAGAAAAGATGTAAAAAATGTTAATTACAAAGAGAAGTGAAACAAACCTGTTAGTGTGCACACAACAATAGTTAGGTACACTCAACTACATACGCACGTACACACACACGCACACACCAACAGCCAATAAAAATACAGTTAGACAAACACACACACGTACATACACACCCACAGAGCGCTTGTCTAAACAAATTAACTATATACGATAGCCTAAAATAATAAAAGAATTTCAATCATTTTCATTATCATTATTATTACATTATTAATCACATATTTTATATCAATACTGTAGTTATGAGGAATAAATAATGACCGATGGATCAGTCTTGTCCTGTATACATTCAGGATCCTAATTCGTCAGGGGCTCGTATCCTTAATGAATTCTCGCGACAAACAGAAAATATTATTCGACACTACGGGATTAACAATCATCAATCAAAGTAGTGTACTCATAACCTCGCCTAGATTACTAGGTCACTAGTATTCTAGCCGGTCCCAAGCCCGGATAAAGAGGGAGGGTTGGGGCGTGGTGCTAGCAACTCCACCCCCAAAACTTAACCAAATTGCTACAAAAACTTCAACGCACAAATATATTAAAAATTCTAAAAATACAAACAATAACCTTATTTTTCGCTGGAATCGGGGAAGTGAAATGACGCAGGCTGGTGAAAGCCTTCGGGAAGCCAGTCAGCCGATGTGCCTTCTTTCGATGAAAGCAAAAATAAGGATAGGGACGTGGAATATTCGTACAATGTACGAAACTGGAAAGGCTGCTCAGGTAGCCGTAGAAATGAGGAGATATAAAATAGAAGTGTTGGGAATCTGAGAGAGCAGATGGAACGGATGTGGAAGGAGCTAACTACCAACTGGAGAGACAATAATCTACTCCGGTCACCCACAGGACGATCACGAGCACACCAAGGGAGTAGCCACCATGATGTCACCAATAGCGGCTAAAGCTCTCATGCAGTGGGAACCAATCTCCTCCAGGATAATGACAGCCAGGTTCAACTCAAAAGGAAAAAAGGTTACAATCATTCAATGCTACGCGCCTACAAACACGTTTCAGAAAAAGAGAAGAAGGAGGATTTCTACAGTCAACTACAAACAGTAATGGACAACGTCCCAAAGAGCGATATCAAAATCCTGATGGGTGATATGAATGCGAAACTGGGAGGAGACAATACAGGAAGAGAACTCACCATGGGTCACGAGGACCTCGGTGAAATGAACGAAAATGGTGAACTCTTCTCAGACTTCTGCGCCTTCAATGATTTGGTGATTGGTGGCAGTGTGTTCAAACACAGGGATATACACAAGGCGACATGGATTTCACCAGATGGACACACCAAAAACCAGATAGACTTCATTTCAATCTCAAGGAAGTGGAGACGGAGCCTACTGGTCACAAGACCGAGGAGAGGAGCAGATGTGGGTTCAGACCACTATCTAGTACAAGGGACATTCAAGGTGAAGCTAAAAGCCTCGAGGATACCTGGGGATAGGCCACAATGCAAGTTCAACACTCACAAACTGAAGGACACAATCACACAGGACATTTTCACTGCAAGTGTCAGAGCAAAGCAGGAAACACTACGTGGCGCCACTGAGGAATCATCCGTGGAAGACCATTGGAACTCTCTGAAGGTAATGTTCAGCGAAACGCGTTCAACGGTTTTAGGAAGAAAGAAGAAACAAGACAAGGAATGGCTCTCAACGGACACTTGGAAGCTAATAGAGGAGAGGAGAATGGTGAAAGAAAAATTGATTCAATGCAAAGATGGACAAGAGAAAGAGACGCTGAGCTCGACTTACACAGCACTGTACAAAGAAGTGAAGAAGAGTGCGAGGAAGGATAAAAGACAATTCTACGACAACCTGGCTACTGAAGCTGAGAAGGCAGCAGGCAAAAGGGACCTGAGGACACTATATCAGATAACCAAGTCTCTATCCGGGAAGAGATCAACACAAGTGAAACCTATAAAAGACAGCCAAGGGAACCCAATTACCAAGGAAGAAAGACAGATTAAACAATAGGCGGACCACTCCAAAGGACTCTTGAACCGACCACCACCTACAACCCGTCCAGAAATACCAACAACAGCACGTACACAACTGCAAGTTGACACCAATCCTCCAACGAAAACTGAAGTCATGAATGCAATCAAGCTTCTGAAAGCTGGAAAAGCAGCTGGACCAGATGGAATACCCCCGGAAGCACTGAAAGCGGACCCAGAAACGACAGCAGATATGCTGACTCCATTATTGCAAAAGATCTGGAAGGAGGGAAAGGTGCCTACTGACTGGAGGAAAGGTTACCTGGTGAAACTACCAAAGAAGGGCGACTTAGGACTCTGCAAGAACTGGCGAGGAATCATGCTCCTGTCGACGCCAAGTAAAATCCTGAGTCACATCATCCTGGAGAGAATAAAGGACGCACTGGATACAGAACTCCGACCAGAACAAGCTGAATTCAGGAAAGGTAAATCACGTTCTGACCAAATTGCAACTCTACGCATTATCATCGAACAAAGTATGGAATGGCAATCAAATCTCTACCTCAACTTCATAGACTTTGAGAAGGCCTTCGACAGCGTTGACCGCGAAGTAATTTGGAAACTACTCGAGTACTACGGCGTACCCCAAATATTCATCAACCTTATTCAACAGCTGTACGACAACGGCACATGTCAAGTGATCTACAACGGAAAACTCAGCGAAGCGTTTGGAGTGAAGACAGGAGTCAGACAAGGGTGCTTATTATCACCAATGATATTCGTAATTGTGGTGGACTGGATTATGCGTCAGACAGTGGGAAACGAGAAGACAGGGATATCCTGGACCGACGTGAAGAACCTAGAAGACCTGGATTTCGCGCGTGGATGATTTATGTTTGATGTCACACAAGATCGAAGACTTACAAGCGAAAACCGACAAACTGGTCGAAGAAGCAGCAAAGACAGGACTCCAGGTGAACATAGACAAGACGGAGGTTGTGAAAATAACCAACCGACAACAACAACAACAACAACAGCAATATCCAGCGCCAATCACCATCAACGGGAGGGATTTGAAATCGGTTACTTCATTCACTTATCTAGGGAGCATTGTCTCAACTACAGGAGGAACGGACGAGGATGTCAAATCGAGAATCGGGAAGGCGGGAAACACATTCATCAACCTGAAACCAATCTGGAAATCTTCGTCACTCAACATCAACAACAAAATTCGGATTTTCAATACAAACGTCAAGTCAGTTTTGCTATTCGGATCAGAAACTTGGCGGGTCACAAAGAATATTTCCAACAGCCTGTTGCAGACCTTTATCAACAACTGTCTTCGCTCCATACTGAAGATTAGATGGCCGGAAAGAATCACAAACAAGAAGCTATGGATTAACATGGATGCAAGTGAAAAATACAGCACAAGACAGAAGCAAGTGGAGGCGTGCAGTTGAAGCCCTATGTTCCACTAGGAACCCAAGGGAACAATAATAATAATAAGTGTACTCATAATGTTATTTGGTGCATGGTGACTAACGGTGGACTCCAGAATGTACATTTCGTCAGTGAGATGGGACTGAAATCCCCAGTAAGAAATGGTGTCCCCATTGAGACTGGAACCCAGTACCCATTATTTCAAACGCCAAAGTGTTATCCACCACGGCACGAAAAGCACCTCTTGAACAACGGCTACCAGTTATTATTGAAGTTAGTTTAATGTTTCCCGTTGACTGATTATACTGGAGTAAAATTTTCGGCCTCTATTGACAGTGGGATTGAAAACACATCCAACTGACGTGTCCCAAACAGGACGAAATGCGTATCATGGACTCCACTGTTATTCACCATCCAGCAAATAACTTCCTACTATTCCTCAAACATCTGTGAAACATCCCTACTAGGAACCGACATGTCAACAGAGACTGAAAGTTTCAGTCCAAAATAATCCATCAGAGAGGAATACGAAATTTTACTTAAACAAATCAAGTGTACTCTTAAATTAAAAATCAATATGGCTTACTACTCTTTTTAACTTCTGCTACCGATCAACTACATCAATTGAAAGTCAAACTAGTGTATTCCACTGTAACTAAGTAACCTCATGCAAGTGATTTGGGTATGAAACACACACACACACACATACACTTGCCGAGTGAACACTCAACCACCTTTCTTCTCATTTAACAATAATTTTAACCTAATCAAATTTCAGACCAACACTTTCATTGTATCGCTGATTACTACGTAATTTTCTCCTGTCTTTAGAAACCACATCTTAGTAATTGGATTCATCATGTCACACACCTCTGTTACACAATAACGGACTGCTATACCTTTCTAGTAAAAATACAAACACGATTGTACAGCCTTTAAAGATAATTTTGTCAGAACATAAAAATTTATCTTCGCTGAATTGTCCTTTACATATATTACGTATCGGGCGAAGATCTACACGAAGTACAGTAGCGTGTATTACTCAGGCTAAAGTAAATGAAGCAGGCTTTGAACCCAACATAAAATGATTGCACAGAAACAATAGTAGAGTTCAATAATTAAATAATCCATTTCAGAATTTGACGAGAATTCACCGTTCCAGATTCAGAGGCTACGTAAATGTCAAATTTGACAGGCAACGACATCATGGTCTGTATGTTATCACTGTCTAATTCAAGATAATATGCATAGAACCATTTCCCAACATGAGAGTTTGAGAGTCGAGTGAACAATTTCTAATTTACTTTCATATTAATTACTGATGTGATAGAATAATATGTTGGCGTGAACAGACTGAGTCATATGATAATCAATCAAAGTTATCGATCATTTTCAAATGAATAATGTGAAGCAGACAAATCACAACAACACCAATAAGGGGAAAAAAATATGCCAAGTCCCAAAAAAGGAGGCAGAAGATCTCCAACAAAAGGAACAGTAAAAGGTGAAAGTCTTGATTCAATTGAAAAGAGAATATTTGCAAGAAAACGCTATGATCTCATAGAAACAGCATTCACGCAAAAAAGTCAACCTATATCAATCTACGTGAAAAGTATACATTTATATGAAGTATGGAATAGACTACCGTTAGTTGAACAATTCTGTAATTCAAATACCAATGAGAATGCATCGAAATCGCCTAAATCAACTCCGAAAAAATCACCTAAAGGTAAGGGAAAGACTAGTCCTACAGCCATTCAGTCAGATGAAGGGGTAAATAAACCAGATCATGAAAATGCTAAACTCTACGGAGTAGTATCAGTTGATAAAAACCAAATTACTAATGGATATAATTTATATGTTGAAATTACAGCTGAATTTTCTTATTATGATCATTCGAAAGTACCACCATTCCCTGAAAGATCTGACACCAAGTGTATGTGTTATCGTGAAGTTCATCAGTTATCACCACGTTCGTTTAATGAGATGCCAATAATTCCCTTCATAGACACTTTAGCATCAAAAATCAAGGAAAAACTAGGAAAAGGATATCAAATTTTCCCGTTTGACTTTGATTTAACACAGAAACCAGACTCAATATTCTTTAATCGTCCTTACTATCCAAATTTTACAAGTGGCCTATTTTGGACTTTGCGTGCTTTTACTGCAAAGGATAAAGATTGTGATCCACTGCCTGGGAGGTATATTACAATGAAGATATATAAATACACTATTTCTCCAGCCTTAAGACCTCTTACAATGATATCGAATCCACCAACAAAATACATCAGGTATTCAACTAGAAATGATACAGGCGATCTTATTTTAGAGGCTCAATTAGATAAGGATATCTACTATCATGGTCAAGAAATTCGTGTCAAAATTTCAATTGAAAATAATTCCTCTAGGCATGTAGTCCAAAATGTGGTTGTGTTTGTTGAACAAACCTATCGATTGAATCATCAATTTCCTCATGATAGAAGTATACCGTTAGGTGAAGTAATATTAAACGATAAACAGTATGCTCTACCAATTAACCCACGTGGGAAGTGGTCAAAAGAAGTACAAGTTAAGCTAACATTTGATCAGACAAAATATAATTTAGCTGTTGACGGGAAAATGGATGGTGATGAAAAGGTATTTTTAGCCAGTAGTACTATAATTATGGATACAAAAGTGATTCATGAAGTTATCAATGAAAGAACAGAAAGGAAGACTCCATCACCAAAAGGCAGTCCAAAAGGGAAAAATCGTAAAGGAAGTCCAACGAAATCGAAAAAAGGAAAAAGTGAAAATGTTGAACCAACAAATGATAAACAACAAGAAACAAATGAACAGGCACCACAATTCACTACAAAGACTATACATTCACTTACAAATAAACAAGTATGCAGAAGTATATTCATATCATACGATGTTGTGGTTCGTTTAAATTTAAGAAATGTACTAGGTGAAGAATCAGGACATCCTATGGTTCGTGTACCGTTTATACTTACAAGAGAAACTAAATTTCTCGATAAATTGGCTAACCCTCCACCTCCAACATGGAGTGTAATAAAACCACATTGAGGGTAATAAATACTGTCTTTATTTTTTCCTCTTTCTTTAATACACAAAATATTCACAGTATAAACGAGAGTTAAGCAAACAAAAATAATAATAATAAAGATCTCATATTTTCATTCTAACATAAATTGATGTCTGTCTAACATTTGCAGAGCAGTATTACTGATAGATTCGTAAGTGTCGATATCGTCTTCAGGAATCCAAGACATATCAGGTAGAAGTTTGTATGCACCAACATATTCATGAGGACAATTTTCCCATTCCTAAAGATTATGATAATTAGAAAGACAAAAGGACTATTTCTTACCTTAGGTGAAAGCATGCTAAGATATTGGCCAACATTTGGTTTTTTATAAACATAATAGATGTTTCCAGGTTTTTTCACAAAATTGCATGGCAATTTATGTAACAAAGTATCTCTGTGTGCATTTTTTAAGATAGTTTCTGCTTGAGACTAGACAAGGGTTAAAGCTTTTTGTGGTAAGTTTACCTTTAAATGATGCATCTGTTCAACAATTAAATGCAGACGGGAACATGCATTAGCAGCAACAAAACTATTTGCATTTTCAACACACTGAGCTAGTTCAACTAGAGTATTTGGCTCCAGTAACTTCTTAGCATCATTTCTAATACTTAGATTTGATTGTGAATTATGTGGAGGATTCATTATTGATTGAATTTTCGATGGATAATAAAGTGGGAGATACACAGCAATAAGGGAATCTAGGTAAACACCATTTCTACAGGTAGAATAGAGGTAGCTGTCCGGAAAACATTATTGCGGATTCTTCAACCTGAATTTTCATGTTCAATTAGTCTGTGAAAAAAAAAACAGTAACATTATTAAGTATTGAAATGAAAAAAATCGTAAATGTTTCAGTATGTTGTATTAGTATAGTTACAGCGATTGTAAGACACCTAGTGCGAGTTACAGTAAAACAAATATACAGCAGTAAATCTGAGCAAACAATATTTGGGTTAGGCGCGAGGTTCTCAGCATAGATACGTTCTGGTTGACTGAAGTGATGTGTTAGTGTTCTAAAATATCTCGGCTTTCCAACCTTATACTTTCATGTACCGACAGACAAGTGAAATTCAAGTCATATGTTAGCAAGATAAGATGATATTAAGATCCACTATGCAATTTATGTACAAAGCTGTTAGCCCCACTTAATTTTTTTAAAAATCTTATGGTACTACTATTCAGTTATTCGAAAGGAAATAGGTGAAGCGTGTTTTGAAATCTAGACTCAGTGAATGAAAGTTACACTATACCTCTTGAATAAAATAGATGCAGGCACCAGTAATCACAAAAAAGTAATTTTCAAATAGAATTTGATCAAATGGCTTTAAACTCAGTATCTTCAAGAAAAAACGACCAATCCTTAACCTCCAATAAAACGTGATGTAATGATAGACTAATAATTTTTTGGGAATTTAGAAAGGGGTGCTGCAGCTCTTTGTGGACTTTACTGGTATCTTATTATGGCCAAGTTAAGCTTTAAGCACCACTAACTACCAATGTGCGACGCACCAATAACCTTGAAGCGCTTACTGAGCAACTTAGTGAAACCTGGCAAATAATGTCGTCATCATCAATAAAATATGGTCATCGAAGTGTTATGCTATTAAATGGGATATCTGGCAAGTTTCAGCTTAGGTTTGGGAAAGGACAAGTTGGGGTTAGGTTTACCTAATAAGAGCGAAATTAGGATTCGTTCGAGTTGGATTATAGTTAGTTTAGGGATAATTTCACGTTTGGATTAGGTTAAGGAAAGATTAGGGTTATTGTTAGGCTTAGAAGACCTAAATAATAACATGCATAGAATGTAGTTAAATTACTCTGTTTTTACAAGAATAGAACTTGCGCACTGTGGTAGAGTATAATTCCATTGTGGGTAAAATTTATTCTGATGAAGTCTCACAGTGTTATACAGTAGTATTTACTGATGCCCACCTTTCGAGCACAATTTAATGCTCAGTAAATATTACATTATGTGATTTTATCAAAATAAGTTTTACCCACAATGGAATTACACTCTATTGACACTCCAACCTAAACTGAGAGCTATTTTCGTCACATGTGAGAGGAAGGTATCCCCTGCAACGCTTTTCTACCGTTTTTATGCATTTTTTTCATAAATATATGTATTCCATAAACAAAAATGCCTCCTTCACGTGATTGGTGCGTTCGAGTTCATTCACTGATTGGTAGTTGATGGTGCTTGAAGTTTAACTTTGCCCTTATTGTTCTAGGCTAGTTTTATGTCCGGTGACAGTCGTTTTGAGAAGATTAATATGAACAAATTATTTGTAACGCTAATTACAATTCACTATCAAAACTTTTACCTGACTGATACAGTCAGAAATTTTAACGTACCTTATGCGTTGTGACTGAACTAACAACGCAGAAATTAAAAGGCATATAGTAACTGATCAGAACAAACAATTTCGTAATAATTCCAGAGACGAACGCCATATGACACCAGGCCCCGACAATTAATTTGTGTCGGTACGTGTCGAATCAGCATTAGGGATTCAATCATGTATTTTGTATTGGTCGCAGTGGCTTAAATACATACCCACTTTATTATTCTTTGTGCCCTAAAAGTCAGTATAAAATGCCTTTGCTACTTTTACTACCATTTCGAGAAGACAGATTTCATCAGACATTGGGAGTATTAGCATTTGAAATGACAAACAGGTGAACACAGCAAATATGAATGCAAAGTTTAATGATAATAATAACTGCGGTCTACTTGCAAAAACAAAAATAAAAATGTTGATAGAGAGATAGCAACCTTATCCAATAAGCACAGTTTATGTTAGAGAAGTAAAAGAAGCTTTCAACATTAGAGTAAAGCCTTGAGATTCCCATTAAAACTGTTAAATTATAGCTACGATATCACTTATACGCGCGGACCACATGGATTAATACACTCCCGCTGCTTCCATCCAGTAGACAATTACAAAGAGTACACCAATCTGATAAAACTAAAGGCATATCTACTATCAAGTAGTGTAACTGTTAGAGTACAATACATGTCAGTGTTTAAGCATTAACAGCCTCAAGAAAACAGCCGTTGGTAAATCAGATTTTAATATAAGTCTATAGAGCCTGGCATTTATGAATTCCATTCGATAGGTACTAAACTAACGTAGAAGTCAGCCTTGCGTATTCCAATGAGAACGGTTAATGCGAACTAAAACAAACATATTTGCAAACCTTGCTGCACCTAGAAACCCGATTGGATAGCAGTAAGAATAAAAGCGGTTACATTCACATAGCAAACTATTTGCATTAGGGTAGGAGTACTATCTTCAGTAATATTAAGGTAATGGAAGATTAAACAGCCTTCTCCGCTGCCGCCCGGCTTCAGATATGAAACATCAGAAAAGGTCGGTGAGTTTCAGTGACGAGATAAACTAGTAAGACACCATCCCGGTATCTTGAAATAACACTGCATACTTTACACTTTAAAGTCTATGCCAAACGAGAAATAATACCTAACTAACCGAAACTGATATCTTAAGCCAGGGTTTCAGCTTGTATTTGTGAAAAACACATAAGAAACAAGTGGGATTATTCATTTAACTCCAGTTGTTCCATAAGGTGTGATGCGCACTTTTAGTTCGTTTACTTGCTAATGCATAGAATCCAGTGGTGTGGTGGTAATGACGAAAGCCCTTTGCAAATTGGTTTACACAAACACCTGTTTCTCTCCATCACTAATCTCATATACAGGGAGGCATGGTGTATCGCTCGACGACCACCGCCACTAAGCAAACGGTGGACAAAGTCGATCTCGGTATAATTCATCTATGGATGGGATGGATAAAAAATTGCAGTTTCTTTTAAAACACTCGTGTGAACTGCCTTGTGTCGTCTCAGACAAGTGAGGATAGAAAAATAGGTATGATACACTTACGCGTGCAGCTCATTAGTGAAAACGTTAGCAAGGAGGTATCTAAACAATCATTTGATAATGATAACATATCCGGTCTGTTGTGAAAACAGTAATGAATACAGTTAATAACCTGTAAACAAAGGTTAGTAAAAGGTAGTGAATCAGTGTAGCCTCATCTGAACTGATTGATGCAAAGAAAATGAATCTGGCAGGTTCCGGACTTTCTATAGATCTAGTGATTAGGACTGATGCAGAAATTAACACCAAACTGCACCAGTTCAAATTGTGACGCGTCTCAACACAGGGGAGGAAAAATGAAATGAAACTATCATAGTCAAAACTCTGTGGCAGATTATAGGTTAGTACAGATTAGTGGAGTTTTCCAAAATATGCTAGACAATATGAATTAGATAGATCTGTGGTCCTGTAATTAATGTCAAGTTATGTACCCAGCATTTCCTGTTATCCAAACGACTATGCAAATAGTGTATACCGACCAACTAGTCCGAGATCAACCACCCACCAAATATCGACTAACCCCGTCATAATTCGGTTAACACAGCTTGCTGAGGAAAGCGATGGATTTATATGAAGGACGCAATCTCTAGCCAACTCAAGTGATGATGGAAGGACAGTATATGATATTGATATAAGAAAGCACAAGAGTATAACCTTGTAAAATGATCGACAGGTTCAAGTCTTTGTAGTAATAACGGAGGAGAATTAAGAAGTACAAAATGTCAAAATAACACCAAACAATTAACCCATAGCTGAATTGTGAATGTTTTCCGATGGACTAGAATATCATTGGTGATACAAAGAGCCTTCACTGACTAAATCAAGATGCGAAGTAACCAGTTAGTTAGGAAACCTTATCCTATGAGCAGTAGGGTAGACTGTACTTACCAACACAAATATACCTACATAATTTTTTGAAGTCGAAATAGGTACGCAGAAAGATCAATCAATAAATCTGTCAACATTAAAAGTCTCATGTTAAATCACAGAAGTACGAGTGAAATATGACCAAGAAATAGGGAGTAATGTTTGAAAAGTCGAATAAGTCTACATTAATCTGACCGACGGCTTTCAACCACCCAGTTTAAATAACAAATTCCATGGAACAGTTAAGTACCACCTACCTGGATAACTTTGATGAGTAGAATGGAAAAGATATTTAGAAGGAAAGTATCATCCACAGGAAATTAAAACTACAACTAGAGTATTTAACTATCAGTCGAATTTTTCAGCGACAAATGTCCCTATTATGCTTACCAATATATACACATTTACTCGAGGAAGTACGCATGTAAATATGCACACGTAGCCAATGTTGGCACGGCTAAATGAATCGGAGGGAATTACTACCAAATAAATCTTATTTCTCTTGATTCGTCGATCATGTTCTTATTTAGATTCTACGCTGTTAACTATCCCCTCTTTAATTCACTTATTTTTGTCTTTCTGGGATGCAATACGGTGAACAAAAACAGTGGTACTCAAGCAATAAGTTCTGCGTATTCGTATAGAAGTGGGCATAACTTTGGGCAAATGGCAAGAATGACAATGTAATGGACGAATTCGTGGTAAAAAATTGGTCAAATTTTAAAAAGGTTCACGGACATTGATTTGTTATCTTAATGATTGAAAAGTTCAAAATGTTTCACCATAAACTGATGCAATGTGAGACACTTATAGCAACTGTCATCATTATAATTTTAAATACACATTGTCACATAATTAACTCACTTAAAGTCAAACGTACTTCATTTATCAAGAACACCCCTCGCTCCATTATCCAATTCTTGAGAAGTTTAGATATACTTTAAAATTTCTTGATGCTTGAGATTTGGCGATTAAAAGCACCCTAGATTTTTAGTGAATCCCAGTAAAACTTTCTACCGTCTACTGCTGCAGCTCTTTGAGAAGTAATCTGAGGATGTACATTTATTTATTCTAAAGAGAATGTAAGGTTTGTAGAGGTACTGAGATTTTCGAATTTGCATTCTATTCTGGGTCGTACAATACTTCACAGTAACTGCTACCAAGTGGGTGGAAAGGAAATCGACGGAATGGATAGACAAAACAAGCAGGGGGTAGGACGAGATTGCAGGTTAGACAGGAAAGAGAGAGGGTGTATACAGACAAATCACAGAAATAAGGGAAAGAAGAAAGAAACTGATAATTAGAGAGATTACAAGGTAAGGTATTTCTAGTGTCATCAAAGACCTTCTATAACTCGACTACTTCCCATATTTTATGCACAAAACTGGTTTTCGTATAATATTCCAGGCTTATCTTGAAGATATTTTAGGAGACGAAGGGGATTGTTGACGTTTACGCAAAGTACCACGTATATCAACGCAAGCTGTTACGTCCACAACTACTAGGGTATTTGTTCTGAGTAGACGAAAGGCAAATCGAAACGAAGAATTGATTGTCGAAAATAGGAAATATATTTCGGGATCGAAATCGCAGTGCGGTGTTAGATGCTTAGCTAGCTAGGAATCGTGCACCAAGAAACGAACATAACATGGCGCTTGCCAAGTGGCGTAGATGCTTCACTGACAGTCGTCAATTTAGCGAGCCGACTCAAGTAGTGAAGGTCAGCATACAATGTTGAGTGATGAATACTGTAGGTTAATAATTTTGGGGAATTATTTGCTTCGATCAGACATTACTTAACTTGTATAATGTGTCAACTGTCGGAGCAGTGGCCACATCAGCTCGCAAATTATACTAGAAGTAGCAAACCCCAGGTAAAAACAAATCCCTACGTACCCAACTCATCTATATTGCTGAAGCTTTGGCTATCGAAACAGAAAAGCCAGATCTCTGTGTACAGAAAAAGTTCGTTCAACCCCTCCAACTTTCATGGTCTTAATCCCTCTATGCTGAAGTATGGTAATCCCCAATCATATTTTCGCTCTACCAATTTTTCATTTTTGTCTATTCAATTTGTATACTCTTCTTTATTAAGTCAGTTGTTACTATTACTACTCTCACTTTTAATTGTCCTCGGTATTATTTCACTTGTTCCACTTGTCATTCTAAATCAATTCCTTTATGCAACATTAAATTCTATGCTATTAAATTTCACACAATATTACGTAACGTTTGTATTTTATTCGATTTGTCTACTAATCTTATAATTGCGCACTTTTTTCAAGTTCTATCCATCCTATGAATTATTCTATATATGACATTAATTTGCTTTGCCACTTGACATTTAACTACGATTATAATCACAAACATTTTAGTTTTAATTGCATTTCATATTATTATTATTTTATGCATTCACACCTGTTTCAATTCCCTAACCGGATATAACTTCTTAAAAACCATATATATACGATTGTACAGCTTGATGATAAATTGGTTGAAAGGAGTCTCTTTGCTGAATCATTTGTTTTGATTTTCTATGTGTTACAATGGGAATTTTCAATGATTTAAAAAACAAATTAGGCACACATTTGTTAATGCTCTCTGTTGAGGTTACGTTGAGGAGTACCATAGTGGGCTTTTGGTGACACATCTGTTTGGGTAGTTTGTATCGTGCACTATTTCGCTGTTTTAGTTAAATTCCCTCTTGTTCTGTGGTAGTTGAAGTCACGTAGGTTGGAGAGTGAAACCAATGGCCAGTGACACGTAGGAACAATCAAACTTCTACACCACAGCATAAATACTTAATAAATATTGCTTTCCACTTTATCCTAGCAACAAAATCACTCTATGGGTTGTATTTCGAAACATCATACATTTGTATGTGTCAGCTTAATAGGGAAACTGATAATCCACTAGAATACAGCTCAGCTGTGTGTGTGCTCAACATCAACCCAGGTGATCAGGCCTATGAGACATTTCCAGTCTTTTTTTGTACTTGTGACTGAAACCTGTTAATTTGTTCCTCACCTTTCGGATCTTGTCAGTGTTCAATATTATTTTTTATTAAACATGAAGTATCAATATGGGAAGTACCATCAGCCCCAACGGGTTGATCTCCGACGAAATTTCAGCACGAATACAGAGGGCTAGGTTCGCATTCGCCAGTTTTCGCCGTCTCTGGCGTAGACGTGATATCCGACTATCGACCAAAGGGCGTGTGTACTGCTCAACAGTCCGCTCCGTCCTCCTTTATGGCTGTGAGACCTGGCCATTGAGAGCAGAAGACATGAAAAGATTAGCTGTCTTCGATCATAGGTGTCTGCGTTCTATCTCCCGCGTGAAGTGGTATAATAAGGTGAGCAATATTGAGGTTAGGCGTCGAGTGCTAGGTAAGGCGGGGAAATCAATCGACGAGACTGTGAAATTACTTCGACTGAGATGGTTAGGACATGTGCTACGTATGCCTAGTCATCGCCTTCCTCGACGGGCAATGTTAGCTGATATAGGGTCAGGCTGGAAAAGAGCTAGCGGCGGCCAAACCAAAACATGGCACCAATCAATGAAATCCACAATAGTTAATCTAAGCCACGTAGGAAGATGTAGACTTCCTGGTTGGGGCCCTCGGGATGGTAAAAACCAATGGTTGGAAACAATTGGTGACATGGCTCAAAATCGTTCTCAGTGGCGCAGATGCATCCACTCCTTGTGACTTATGATTTCCAATTAAACTGTTTTGTTCTTTGTTATTACTATTCCTTTGTCTCACACCTCTGTTTACTGTCTATATTATGCATTTCTTCTACTTTCTTCTCTTGCTTTGCGTGCTACATAGATTGTGGCGACTTGAACTGCCGCACAAATGTGCAAAGTTCTATGTCGAAAACCGACCGACCGACCGACCGATCAATATGAATACCATGAACCAAGTGCACTTAAATAAATTTATAATGTACTAAAAGTTTTACGGATATCGTGTCTGCTATGTTGTTATGGAGATTCAAATATACATTTTGAAATCTAAAACAAATGATTTTCTATGTTACAATGGGAATTTTCCATGATTTTGAAATCTATCAATTCTTGACTTTGAGTGACCAACTTTCGCACCAAAATAATAACCGAAATTGCTAACCAATAGCGTGTATAATAATAGGCGACAGCGGTTGATTTTGAACTTGTATTTTGCAAGCACGCAGGTTGGTAAGTGAGGGGGAGAACCCCAACCAAATACACGGAAGAGTATTTGCCGTCCAATACCGTTAAATACAGACAGACAAACTTCCAAATAATAAGGAAGGTATAGCTCTTAATAGGCTATTTGTCTCGTTCTTCCATATTTTCTTTATCACTAACAGCCTCTGAGTGACCGTAGTGTGCATCGTATATTCTGCACTGCGGAGACCCTACGGGGTACATGCCTGCATATAGTGGTTGAAATAGATACGGAGAAACACCATTCTAGGCTCTTTCCTTCTGCATAAGATGCTGAATTCATCTCATTCAAGTAATTCTTTTAATTAATGAACATACGCTGATGGCTGCATTTATAATCTCACTGTCTCTTTGATTATAATTTTCAGCTGCTATATGCTCCACTTTCATTTTATATGGATTAGTTAGCCATTATTCTGGTTCTTAGCCGATTATGGACTGAAAATTACTTGTTGCTATAACAACACTTTTATGTATGTTTAGCTGGACACTTATTGCCGTGGTGAGTCGCTGGCCGCCAAGACCCGCTCTTCGACTCGACACTAGGAGAGACGTGTACAACAAACCACCCTGTGTGGGTGATCATATCAGCTTTGCAACTTCACAATGGTTAAACACCGTGGTTAAAAGGACTTTTTATGCAGCTTAGATCATAACAGTTGAGAATATGAAGCCAAAATATCCATCTAAGCCCTTGGAACATACGAAAAATGATGTCATATACCAGTTTATTCATCAATTTGAATGTACTTGTGACCTCACATACATAGGGAGGATTCATCAATCCCTGCAAGTGCTGACCTCAGTAAATATTTCTGAATAGTTTTAGAAGCAAACAGAATCCCCAGAGCCCAGTAACTGAGAAGAAACACCCTAGCTTCTCTGTTGCGAAACATAACCATAGAACGTGTTTGGGGGCTATCCTAAAGTTTGTGGAAACCTTGGCAATCGGGAAGCTGAAACCACTTTTGTGCGTTCAAAAAAATTATCGGCACACTGATTAACGTTTCAAAATAGTATATTGTCCCTGTAAAAATAACCTACCGTACTTACCACTT